GTCAACTATGAATTGGAAAGTCTAATGTCACCATGTCTCCATCCAGGCTTCCACCATGAGTCCATGACTCGTCTAATTCAGCCTATTTTAAATTTATAGTGTGCATTAATATCGATTATCTGGTACACATTAAAAAATTTATTTTGGTGATATAATTATCAATTGATAACTGAGTTTTTAAATGTATTACACTGTTACACACTTAGAGAGTGTTTAGTTTAACTTTTCAGAGGTGATTTTACAGTGTTAAGATAAACATATGAGAATAATTTTGTCTCTAGTGAAAATAGTTTTCTAAATTCTTTCAGAATATTTCAGACGCTTCCCTTTAGGTAAAAGTAAAAATATGTCTCACATCGTATAAATTATCGAAATGCCGAAGTTGAATTTTGAAAGTATTAGTAATTAGTTACATATATTTTTTTAATTATACGTTATCGTTAAATTTTACATTCAGCACTTTACTAGCGGCATATTTCGAAGCTGTCAACAATACATTATAGTTAAATGAGGAAGTCTTTCTAATATGTCAATAAGAGTTGATCTAATTAGTAAAGAATTAATTTATAACCCACAACTTCGTAAGAAGTGAAGATCTTATCAATGGCCTCTCATTATCAGTTTCTCACGGCAATTGGAATTGATACATGTTATGGCGCCAAAAAAAAATCGTTGCTCTACTCTTAATTAAAAAAATCACTATTTTAATCACAATTTAAACATAACCCTACCTTATGTTAAAAACTTGATTTCATATTTGGTTTTGCACTTTTTTCTTAATTCATTATTTTTAATTAATAGAATACTAATGTAAAATAGATTAATATTAGAAAAATCCCAAAACAATATCTCTTGAATTTCAAATTTTCAAATAAATCTTATTTATTATATTTTAATAGCAATTGATTACATTTAAAAAGTAAATAATAACAAAGATAACTTAATCAGAATTTGTAATTTAAATTTTGAAAGAATTAAAAACACAATAATATTTTTAAAAAAAGTAATCTTTTCAAAGAAGAGGTTAACATATTAGCTTGATCACCTGCTGATCCACATTAAGCGGGTTCAAGCCGGCTAAATACCAACTCACATGGAGGCCGACCTTTTTAGCGAGTCGGTCTGGATTCCCACTCCAAATTTGATGTCATAAATCTGACGTCATAAATCGCTAAAACTTAATTTAGTGCACTGATGTGTCCTTTCAGATCATTCAACGTTATCTTCGCGGAAAATGCGTCCAGTGATCTCTACAAATACTCTCAGATAAGCAGAAGACGATTTTTACAATGGAGGTGAATGAGAAGTCCAGAAATAAGTGGTATTCCCATGAATTAGCTCAGCTGTTGGCACAAGCCATAACTTACAAACAAAGCTATTGGACGTTCACCCCAAATAGGAAAAAGAAAGGGAGGGGGGGGGGGGCGTGGATAAGCAAACAAAACTATAGGGGATGTTTAACAAAAGCCTTTTTGCTTCCTTAACTTGCTTGAAGGGATGATCAAGGCTCCGACGCATTCCGTGAAGACCTCAATATTCCATTCCTTTCTTCTGCAAATCTGAACACTAACAGCTAGAGGGGCAATCAAAATATCCACCGACTTTTTTCTAATATGTTCCTCATCTTGTTTATGTTTATAACCAATATACCTATATTAATATATTAACATACAGTATAAAATATATAACAAGCTGTTAATTTATAAATCATAAACAATTCGGACTAATTCCTCGAATTTCATATAATGTATGAGAAAACAAATTTAGATAGAGGAATCAAATACCAAGGAAAACCATGATAAAAGAACCATGAGCAGAGTAATTTCCTTTTTGATATTAGTTGTATAAAATAACTATTTATCCCGTCGGAATCTCAAATAATTTTTCAACAATATGAACACTTCTCCAAGATCCGTATACAAAACCGGTCTTCAGTATAATCCCTCTTCATTCACACAACATTCTCCTCTCCTTCAAGAGTCCCACAAATTACCTTCAAAGTTTTATTCCTCAAGCATGGTCTTGGCTGCATCTACCAGTGTTGGTCTTAATTCACTGGAAGCTCGACCAAGCACCGTATATCCTTCCTTATCCTGTGCATCTACATCTGCTCCATGTCTTATCAGAAGGAAAGCAACCTGGAAAAAACCCCAGAAGGCAGAAGCCCTGGTAATTATGAGATCCGCTGCAATCTACTCTATCTATATAGACTCCAAGCTCGAGATAAATTCATATGCAAATGCCATGACCGATTAATAAATAATCCCCCAAGGTTCACATCCAAGTACAGTCAAACAAGATTCAGACCTCTATTGTCAAGTCAACAGAAAAATTGCAAAAAGCCAAATGCACTAGCATAGTACAGAAATATATGGGAAAGCTGTAAAACAAATTCATCAACCTGACGACTTAACAAGCTTACCTCTTTGTTTTGGCAAATCACAGCATTCATTAATGGGGTTTGACCAGCTCTATCAGCTGCATCAACCTCTGCTCCTTCTTCAATTAAAAATTCACACAGTTCAGAATTTCCAGTGCTCGCAGCACGATGTAATGGGGTGCTTCCAACCTGATTAAAGTTAAATCACATGAACAGTCACTTATATCAGCGGTCCTGAAAAAGGTGCTCTAGTAGATAAACAAATACTAATAATCCATAAATATCTCAAGGCGGTCATTCTTCATAACCTTATCCTTAACGTTGATCTTGGCACCATGGGAGATGAGAATTTCAGCAATCTTCAGCCAACCTTTGCTGGCAGCATAGTGAAGTGCAGTTCGGCCCCCATTATTTTGCAAATTAACATCAGCTCCTGATGAAAAACATTTGAAATAATTTAAACATTATAAATGAAATATACTGAGAAATCCAGAAGTCTTGCACAGTTTAAGTAGGGGGAGTAAGACACATTTAGGCTTTTAAAAAATAAGATTATAGTTGATATAATGAATAATTTAAAACAAACCCCTCCGATATCACTCTCTAATACAGCAAGAGCAGTGACAGGAACGATTCCAAATTAGCAACTAGTAAAATATGAAGCTTGACAGCAGAAAGATAAAAAATTTATGAAATATGGACCTTTGTTCAACAATGTCTCAACAATTTCCAGATTCCCAATGCTAGCCGCAGAGTGAATCGGAGCCCATCCTTCTTCATCGATACTATTAATCACTTCTGTAGACCCATCAGCAGATGCTAGGATCTTCACCACCTGATTTCATATCAAAAGGGCAAAGATAAGATAAAATTTCCGAAAATGACCGCCCAAAAAACAAGGACCTAGGGCTGCTCAGAAGCGAACAGCCACCAGGACTCAATTCCTCAAAGGGAAACCAGACAATTGCCAATACAGTTCAGCTCCGGTAATTCCACTCACAGATTCGAGGAAAAACAAAGAGAGGAATCGGATAATTAAGAAACACGAAGAAAGACAGACCTGAGAGTGACCGGATGAAGTGGCGACGTGAAGAAGGGAACGTTCATCCTCATTTCGAAGAGAGAGGGCCTTGGAGAGATTCTCCGGAGAGAGAAGCTGGAAGGTTGAGACGTCGCCGTTCTCGGCCGCTTTGAAAAGGTCCGCCGCTTTGACTACTTGTTGCTGCTCTGGTTTTGGAGGATCCACTTCCTTGTCCATTTCGTCACAATCAAAGGTACTGTAGTATCTGTTATGCCCGGGGATTTATTGCCTTCCCGAAATCAGGATTCTCGCTTAGGGTAAAATCGGAATTTGGCTTTTTGAAAAAGAAAAAAATTATTAAAATAAAAATAACCAGAGAAATTAAAAATTGTCAAAATTATTTTGGAAATTCTCCATCCAAATTCTCAAATTTTAACTTCTTGACATGAGATATCTACTCATCCTCATCTCTCTTGTTGCATTGATCTCTCTTCAAGGGAGACCATAATAATTGTCATTCATACATTTCCATACGAATGAATTACTCGTTACCAGCCATTGCATGTTCTTAAAAAAAATTTCATTTGCTTTTGTTTTGAAGCTGTTGTCTCGTCCATCGATATTGCCGCCGCCACCACCCAAGTTGCCGTCACGCCCTTCGCCATTATTGATAGTGGGGGAGGAAGTGCGGTCGCGAGGATGGCGCTTGTTTGGATCACCGTTTCAAATAGAAAAAGTTTATAAAAAAACATGAAATTGCAACTTATTTAGTGTGTTTGGATGAAACCAAACCGTGGTTTGGAAAAGTAATTCTGAAGAATAGATTCCGGGAAGAATAGATTCTGGAAAGAATAAATGTTATGAAAAAGTGATTTTGAGAAGTGAGAGTGTTTGGATAGTTGTTATCAGAAGCACTTTTTATATATACAAATTACTAAAAAAAAAGACATAAGTTAATATGATAATTACAGAAAAAATAAATTTTATGATATATTTTAATTTGAAGGAATAAACTTGTTAATAATATATTTTTTATTAACATAATTAATAATACATAAGATAATATAATTAATAAATAATTAATATGTATATATATATATTTTAAATATAAGATTAAATATGTTTATAAAAAAATATGTTTATAAAAAAAATAACAAGATACATATCCTATAAGCTCTCACACTCTCCCTTTTTTCTCCAAAAGCAAAAAATTTCTACTTTTTCCAAAACCATGGTTTTGGAGCCAAAACCATGGTTTTGGTCCAAAACCAGTGGGTGTTTGGGTGACTTATCACCCAAACCACGGTTTGGGGGTCCCCAAACCATGGTTTGGGGTGTCACCCAAACGGAGCCGAATTCTTAGACTAAGGGGGTATTTGGATATAACCAAACCATGGTTTGGAGAATAGTTTCTGAAGAATAGATTTTGGGAAGAATAGATTTTTTGAAGAATAGATTTTGTGAAAAAGTGATTCTGAGAAGTGAGAGTGTTTGGATAGTTGTTACTAGAAGCACTTTTTACATGTACAAATTATTAAAAAAGGCATAAGTTAATATGATAATTACAGAAAAAATATATTTTATGATATATTTTAATTTGAAGGAATAAAATTGTTAATAATATATTTTTTATTAACATAATTAATAATACATAAGATAATATAATTAATAAATAATTAATATGTATATATATTTATAAGATATAAGATTAAATATATTTATAAAAAAATATGTTTATAAAAAAAACAACAAGATACATATCCTATAGGCTTTCACACTTTTTCTTTTTTTCCAAAAGCAAAATTTTTTTGCTTTTTCCAAAATCATGGTTTTGGAGCCAAAACCATGGTTTTGACTCAAAACCATAGTTTTGGTTTTTTTAAGGGCGTTTGGATGATTTTTGCCCAAACCATGGTTTGGGGTCCCCAAACCCTGGTTTGGGTTGGAACCCAAACACCCTCTAAATGGTTGTTTGGATGGGCTAAAAACTCAACCAACTTCTGGCCTTCAATCTCAGTTGAACTCAATAGAGGAAAATCTGACTTTTTTCATTTCAAACTGCAGTTTCAAACGGTAATCATTAAAAATATACCAACTCAGATTTACCCTCATATTTTCTCTTCTATCTCATTTCCTTCGTTAGTATAATTAGCTTTTATTTAGACTAAATGAATTTTAATTTATATTCATGTTTATCCATTATATATATTTAATTAATTATCTACAATCTGTTTTTAAATTTTTCTTGGTGACATATGTTTTTATTTCATAATCTCACAAATAAACTATTTTTATTTTATCATAATAATTTTAGGTATTTTTTTAAACTATTATCACATTAAAAATATAAAATATCAAACAATATTATTTAATAAAGTCCATGCCTTTTTTAGTTATTTTACAATTGAATTCATTTTTTATTTAATTATCTAAACAACTTTTAACTTTTCCAACTGACTTTTTATAAACACCTATTTAAATATAAATTATATTATACTAACTGATATTTATCTTAATTTCAATTACAAAAATCAGTTAGACTAGAAGTAAGTTTTATCTAACGTCAATTCAAACACACCCGTCGAATCTTGATAGGAAGGGCTTTTGCCCCCCCTCCCTCTTATTGAGGGGATATTATGGTCTTTTATTTATTTGTTTATTTTCTTACAAGAATTTACTCGTTCTTCGAATTGAAACCGTACGCAGACCGCGTTGCGCTTTTCTGGCGAGAGAAGAGGGAAAGACAGCGTCGTGCTTTTGCGCATCGTCTGGGGAGGGGAGAGGGATAGAGTCAGAGAGAGAACCGATCTAGCAATCTCTCCTTTTCTCTTCCTATTTTTGAAGTACATTTTGATTGGTTCGGAAATTCTCTGTAAAATCACGTTAGATTGGGTTTCAGATCCTTCTACTGCTGATATTTAGAGGTACAGATTTATTTGTCCCATTGATTTGCTTTTGGTCCTTAACTTCTGTACTAGATTGGGTTTCAAGTCCTTTCAGATTTATTTGTTCCATTACTGGCTTCTCATTGGCAGAATGATGACTAAGCTAGACTTATTACTAGACTCGTAATATAATTAAAGTGCTCTCGATTTGTTGAAGAGCTGTGAATCAATAAGCAAAGTTGTTTTCCCAGTATAGAATCCATATTAATTTGTGGCCGTTTTTTTTAGCCTGAATCTTTTGATTACGTTTGACATGCCTTGGACATCAAAAGGAAATGTTGTTTAATTCCAAATCTACACTGACTGGTTAGAGAATAACTTGTTACCTTGTTGATCAGGTGGCCTGATTGGAAAGGCTTGGTTATAAACAGCGGAGGACTGATTGTCAAAAACCAGTTTCATGACAGTGTGATCGTGTCGGACAATGATCGACTGATATTTTTGTCGTTGATGCTGTTTCCTTAACAAAATTGCTTGTCCTTTATAATGTGGAATTTTGCTGCAAATCCATTGGCAAATATTAGAGTGAAAGGAAACTCTAGAGAGACAAGCCAAACTTGTTCAGACTGCTCAGATGATGAGGTCTTCTCTAATGCCAGCAAAGATGAAGGGTTGGAATGCCCCATATGCTGGGAATCTTTCAACATAGTTGAGAATGTGCCTTATGTCTTGTGGTGTGGACACACTCTCTGCAAGAATTGCATTCTGGGACTTCAATGGGCTGCTTTGAAACTTCTCACCCAACAAATCAAGATCCCACTTTTCGTTTCTTGCCCATGGTGCCAACTATTATCATTCCGATTGGTTTATAATGGAAATCTGAAGTTTCCTTGTAAGAATTTTTTCCTCCTTTGGATGGTTGAGAGCCGGAATGGTGATAGATATAAGCTTGTTTCTTCCAATGTGAATAGCCAACCAATATGTCCTCCCTTGAACAACTTTCTTCAGGGAAATCATGCTTCTAATTGTAACCTTAGGAGACGCTCAATTAATCTTGGTTCTGGGCAAAGGGAGTCTGATGGCAATGATGGTAGTAGGGATGGAACTAGACGCCTTTTTTCCCTTTATAAATCTCTGGATTTCTTCATTCATATTATGTCCAAATTCCCATTGGTCGCCATTTTTCTTGTGATCGCCTTTTTTGCAGTTCCATTTAGTGCTGTTAGTTTATCTGTTTACTTGTTACTCACCATAGTTTTTGCTGTCCCTTCTTTCCTGGTATTGTACTTTGCATACCCTACTCTGGAGAGGTTGGTCAAAGAAATAATTTCTTGAGATATGGCTTGACTTTATTATTTTTGTTCACTTGGAGGTTTTTGTACTTTTATGTTTCTTCTTCTTTTTCTTGGTAATGTTCTTCATAAATCAACTTGGGGTGAATCTTCTGTGAGCAACTCACTTCTGTTGAACAGGGAAATTGATTGTGATTCCTTTTACCAGCTGAGGACAATTAGTTAATGCATAAGAGAAATTTTAAGTGATGAAAATTTTCATGTGCCAAAATATTGAAGTTATGTAAGTTCAGAAATTTGTTTCATGCCTCATGCTTAAGTGCATTTTAGACTTAAACGGAAGACCAAGGGTCTACATGTATTGGTTTCCACTTTCAACCCTCCTAGAGGTTCCTTTTTCAATGTATAAAAAATTGTCAAATGTCCTTTCTCTTTCTGTGGCTTAAGTTTTTAAGGTTTGGATTGGACATTTATTGTGGCATTACTTATTGTAGCCATGTTATCATACCATTTTTTAAAAGCCTTTAGAATACTTAATGAAAATATATAGGGATGTAAGAAGCTAATAAAATGTCGTGGAAGTGGTATTTTAGGTAGTAAGGCCAATTAACATTCATTTTTATGAATTTTTATTAGCTTTTTGCATCAAAGACGACCAGGGAGAATGTATTTATGTTATTTTAGTCTCAGACACCAATGGCACCTATTGGATAAAACGTTTGCTTATTATCATATTTTTCCTCTGAATATATCCTCTAGCATCTTAGAGTAGTAGTGAAGGTAGGTGAAAAGTAATAGTCTAATGTGCTACTTAACCAAGATCGCCCTGAGTGATCCTTCGTTTATGAACATCTTCAATAATTTTGGACAGGAACTTCTTTCTGTGGAATAGGTGCAGCTTCTCATACAGTTTTTCATAAATTTTGTGGATTTGATATAGTTTAGCGCCATACATGATTTTCTTAAAAGAGAGGGAAAAGGAGAGAATTATAGATACAATAATTGAAAGAAACATCTACTGATGGCCCCAAGCGATAGATATAATAGTTATCTCAGAAACAAGAGCATGGTCCCCGAGGCATTCCTGTTGTTCTGATTCTATTTGCCTTTTCTCTTGCTTTAAGCTCTTCCTTCCTTCGTTTTGCATCTGCTTGTTCTCTTGCTCCCCTTGCAATTTGATCAATACGGTCCACGTCATCTCGGAATTTGTCCATCGCTTTCAGCCTTCTTTGCTCCAGCTCACTCTGATATTTCAGAAAGATCATAAGCACACACTATGCAATATCATTGTTAATCATAAAGTTCGAATGAGTAAAACCTCTTGCATGTTCAGCTTGCGTTTTGCTTCCTTCCTCTTCTTGTTTTCCCAGGAATCTATTGTCTCTTTCAACTTCTCATACCTGACAATAATTTTTATTTAGAGTATGAAATATGAAAACCTATGCAATGTAAAGACAATGCAGGAAGCAAGGTATTTGCAGTGTATATTCAAGGAACTTCAATATGACACTACTGTCAAGTACTTTTGTTTGATCTTTTCAAGCTCAGCTTTCTCCCAGGCATCTGCTTCTGTGTCCCTGGTGGGTGGTATTGCTGAAGTTGGCGGCCTAGAAGATTCAGATTGTGCTGGTGCAGCAACTTTTGGTTCTGTGGTGTCAGATTTTGTCTTTAAGAGCTCTCTAAAACTTAATGTCTTCTTTGATGGCACACTGGCCATGGCCTTTTCATCTCCAGCAGGTGATGTTGGCTCCTTCTTCCCTTTTCCATCTGTGAATTTGAATGAATCTGCATTTGATTCAAACTTGTTAATCTAATTTATTTACCTTCCAAAATCTCTCTCTCTCTCTCTCTCTCTCTCTCTCTCTCTCTCTCTCTCTCTCTGTTTTTTTTTTTTTTCACTGGAAAAAACTTTTTGTCCAAGCACTGTCCTTAAGGTTAGGCAAACAAGGCTGAAGTTAGATAGTCCTAGTGATTGTTGTGTGTTCTTATCTGTTTACCTGAGAATCTCTTGGATCCACCAGTCTTCTGTTGTGGGATTTCTGAAATTTCTTGGTTGCTAGCTGCATATGCGGCGGCTGCTATAGCAGTGACATGTTCCAAGTCTCCAGACTGGTCATCCCGATTCATTTTCCTTATGAACTGTCTCTGAAACCAATTCTGACCCTTCTTCTTTTCTGCGAAAATTCCCCACTAGAATATGTCAACATTAGCCTCACTGATTGTTTGATCAGGCAAAAAGGAAAAGAACATAAGAATATGATAACCCCCCAGTTTTCTCTTTCCTCAAATAGAAAGTTTTCTATATTGGGACATGAGCAAGTGTTAATTAGTAGATAACAATTTCTTCCCCTTCTTTTTAGCCCCTTATCTTTGTTAAACAATGTGGAAAAAAATCTTTTTTTTTTTTTTGGGTTCAAGCAATGATACTATTATTTTTTACTCATACAAATAATTAAGTTCATAGAATAAAGAAATTTCTTTACCTTGATGAGATTGGGTTTTCTGCATTGATGTCTTCTGGTCTCTGCCGCGACTCAGATCACCTTTTTTCTCTGGTTGTGAACCGTCAACACTTGACCTAACCAACGTGCACAGCCAAAAAGATGATAATTATGATTCTCATATCAGTGTTAGTTCCCCACTAAACCCCAATTTCTGTTGCTGGAAAATCCCTTTATGATAGTAAATCTGATTGAACAAACCATCCTCGGTGACACAGATAAAGCAATCTTATTGGCATACCCGCTTGGTAAGACGATGCAAAATATATACAAGAATTTTTTTTTGTCTGGGATTTGTGCGTGCTAGAAGATCATGCAGTCTAGAATACTTGTAAGGAATAAAGATTCAGAATTACTAACCTTGTTAGATTCATGAATTTCTCCATAACCCTACACCAAGAACTTGTTCTGAAACCCTTTTGTAATCAATGGGTCATGGCTTTGTAGTAATAAGCTAGGTGGCGTTCATGAGAAGAAAGAGCGCAGAAGAAAAGGCGAAACCTTGTTTAGGTATTGCCATAGGCTGAGGTTTGAAAGGAAAGCAAGCAAGGTTAGATATATACTTGGCATGTATTGTCTGGTTTTCAGAATAAAAAGAAAGTGTCTTTTGGATGAAGATTGGTATTTTCTTTCCTTTCTTTGGAGGCATTCTCGTTCAATGTATTATTTGATCTGCTCCACCATATATCAATATTAATCTAAAAAGTAAATTTTATTATTTGAAAGTTTAATATAGCTAACTTTTCAAATTCTTTACCATGCCCAGTAGGTTCGCTTTTTGATGAATGTAAAAAGAACTGTTGAGTTGAGAATAAAATTAGATTCTGTCTTTGGCTTTAGCAATTCAACTGATATAACTGTGCAAAGATTCTATTGCACCCTGAGCCAAATATGGAATAAGATAAAGCCATAAAAATTTGACCTTTTTTTAAGAAAAAGAAGGGGCCGTCTGGATGTCACTGGTATCTATTCTCATTTGTGACTCTTTTCCTCCATAAAGAGTGATGATTAAACAATGTGTTTTGATCTGGCTAAGGAAGAAATGTAACTTGAAAAGGAATTAAAAGCAGAGAATAAGAATATTTTTCGCATCCTATACCAAATTTGAAAAAAAAAAAAAAAAAATCCGTTGCATCTTATAGTGGAAGACAGATTTCTTTTTGGCATTGTTGTGAAAGACAGCCATGAAGAAAAGACTCCCACAAAGAGATGAATATGTCCACTGAAACATAACATGTATTGTAATGAACGATTGTCAAACAAAAGCATTGAAATATACAAATCGGCAATAGAATTAAATTTAAATATTATTACCCAAAGAATCAACCAATAAAGAAATCGATTCTACAACATTCAATCAATGCAATGAAGATACAGTATTTTGAAACTAAGCATAAGTGAGTGCGACAAGCATCCATGTTGGTGGGAAAAGAAGGATCCACGAGCACCAGTTCTATAAAAGGAATATTACAAGGCCCAAATCCAATATAATCAGCATGAAGTCGCTTTAAATAGTTTCATCTTTGAGAGTCAAATGGTGGTACTCCCAGGGCTATTCCAAAAATACCTGGTCGAGTCTAGCTTTAAAAAAGCAATCCAAACAAAAAATCGAGCTGGACTGCACCGGGTTGGACGTCAGGTTAGATTGGGTTTCGGACTGACTCAGACCAAATGGTCTGGTCTGACCTGACCCAGTGCTTACATTTATTTTCTTTAATTTATATTTTTTTAACCTAATCCTTCTGCCTCATTTAATTATTTCTGATAGTTTTTATTTTATTTTTAGATTAAGGTTGGTTTATTTTGTATACATGACATGACCGTCTATTATAAGTGAAAAAATGGCTACCAAATTTTTTTTTTTTTAAAAAAATACATGAATGGCAAAGCAACCTGGACCTGTATCAGGCCTAACTAGACTAGTCTTTAGACCAAAATTTTCAGCCTGATTATTTTTCAAAATAAACTTTGAGATGATATCTTACCCAGTCCAGTTTGATCATTGCTCAGCCCTAGCACTCCCTCTTGAGTTTGAAACTTGTTGGTTTGAGCACAGATCATGTCTAAATTAACAGTCGCTTTGAAGGTAGTAGAATTCAACATATCTAGTAGAAACTTATTATTTCTATGACTGAATGGAGCTGACCCTTGGAGCAATAAGCGTATGCACACAAATATGGCGAGCATTCATGTTACAGAGAGTACTTTCTTTTTTCTTTCGAGTTGGCAAACACCAAAATGTTTGTAGGTGCCGTTTGAACCCGCAATGTTAGCATCCCAAGGATGCCACCTATGCCCCCTGGGCCAGTGTTCATCGGCTTCTAGGGAGCGCTCGCCGCAATAGGGTTCTATTCAATAAGACATTGATCACGCCCAATAACTTGCTTTCAAGACACATACAAGTAACCAATAAAAGCTAGGAGCACAACAAACTAGTCTCTCATGACACAGTGAATCAAAATTTGAATTCCTGTTAAAAGATGTACTTATGTACTTATATTTAATGCTTGACAGTACTTCAAATAGGATTATCTCTATTAGGAGAATATATGAGCCTAGCAAAAAAAAAAAAAAAAACACACACACACATGTACATACACATTATACAAAGTAGCTCAAACCAAAAGTCACATCCATAATAATTTGGGTTAGGAATGGATGACGAAGTGTTAAGCAAATAATAGTTTCCTCTAATAAGTGTTTGTCTGCAATAAACCTTGTCATTAAATGCGTCATGCCCAATTGATCCAAATACCTCATGTTGATTAGGAAATACATTGAGTAAAGTTCATAAAATAAACATTTTTACCACAAGTTCACAAAATAAGGAGAGCAAGGAATTGAAATTAAATGAGAGAATAATTGAATGATGACCCAAGGATGCGCACAAAAATATAAGACCTCCACTATTAAATAAGAATATCAACATGCTAAAAGTCATAATATCTTTAATAAGTTAAATTATCTAATTTTCTTCATATAAATGAATATCACTACCAAATTAATAGTTATAAATCTAAGTTGCAAATCAAGTAAAATAAGTATCAAATTATTGGAGGTCACAAAAATAAAATTTTCCCTCTTCCTTCATAGATAGACAATATCACTTGCAAATTAGTAGTGAGAAAATTGTAAATGAGAGAACATGAGTATTAAACCATGATAAGTCATGGTATCTTTAACAAGTGAAATTTTTCATTTTCTTTTATAGACAGACAAATCTCACTTACAATAATTAATAAAGAAGAGTATCAAACCATTGAAATAGCCTTCAGTTCTGATTTTGGTATTCTCAAACTTTTATCGCCTTTTTAAGGTGAAAATAAAAGGAAGAGTTGATTTTTTTTCCTTCTTTAATGATTCGACAGACACAAGAACCTCAACCAAAAATGGAATTAAAAAAGGCATAAAAATGGTTTTTTAAAAGAAATGAAAAGAAAGTTGTCTGGACGTCCGGTGCATCTATTCTCAATGTAGAATTTATTTATTTTGTCCAAAACAACTACAAAACAATGTGCTTCTATCTCACCAGAGAAAAAATAGGCACAGGAGTAAAGCTGGAGACTGTACAGAACGCATCTGGTATCCTACACCAATATTCATTTATTTATCTCTAGGAAAAAAAATCATTGCATCTTATAATGAAAAACATGCTTGTACAAATAGGCCCCCCACAAACAGATGAGCATATCCATTAAACGTCACAAATATAGTAATAACTAGTCACGAAACATAACAAATATATTGACAACATAAATTGCCGATGGAATATTATAATCAATGGAAAGAACGAACAATCTATTCTAAGACAATCAATTCAATACACATACACAATATTTGACCATTGTGAAGCTAAGAAATCTAAAAAAACACATGATGAGCGAGAACATAAGAATAGGATCACTGCTAAACACAGGCAGGTGCATTAAGGTTGTTGAGACGAGCAAAGACAATGGAATCAGCAGCAACATTAATTGGAGAAGAAGGATCCAGAAGCATTGGCTCCATGGAAGGAATATCCTGAGACTCAGTCAAGCTCAAAACTTTCCCATTCAGCAACACGACGTCGCTTTGAATATTCCCATCCTTGGGAGTCAAATGGTACTCCTCTCTCATATTTGAGTCTGAAACTTGTTGATTTGGGTACAAATTCATGTCCATGTTAACACTAACTTTAAAGGAAGTAGAATTTGACATGTTTATCAATAGCAAGCTCACAGCAGCCTAGAAAAATACAAGAAGGTGTGAATTTTATCAGTGGAATTTGGCAATAGAGAAAAATGTTTTATTATTTTTGGAAATGAATGCACAGAGCTTACCTTATTCTTAGAACAATGAGCATATGCACGCAAGTATGGAGAGCCCTCATTATTAACAGAGAGTACTTTGGTTCCCATAAGCCGATGCCATAACAAGGCTCTATTAAACAAAAGATATTATTAATAACATACAATGGCTTTCTTTTAAGATGCACACGTGTTGGAATCAAAAGCCTTACCCATAATAATCTGGGTTAGGGATGAATGATGTAGTGTTGAGCAGACCATAATTTCCCCCAACTAGTGTTTGTCTACAATAAACCTTGTGGTTAAAGGTTGATGTCATTCCGAGTTGATCCAAATACCTGTTTATCAAAAAACACGTCAAGAGAAGTTCATAAAACGGGAATTTTCAAGAAATATGAAAAAAGGAGAATGAGAAAGGTGCTGATATTGAACAAGAAAATAATTGGAGAATGACCAGAAGCCATTAGCAAAGGTATGTGACACATCTTTGCCTCCACTATTATAAGCTCCTCCAGATTCCCCAACCCATGCTTGGGCCCATGGTGCATACTCTTTCACACTTGTTGATATGTCCTTGAATGTTTGAGCAACCTGACTTAGGAAAAATGGGTCTTGCACCTTATTAATCAAAGTCTTATCCACACCTACATTCATGGTATGAATGGAGTGTTAGGCATTTTCTCAAAAACCAAACACAAGATTATGGTTTCATTTTTCCTCTTTGTGTTTGTAAAAATGCTCAAAATAGAAAAGGAGAGAATACACAAAATGGTTAATTAATTCATATATGTGTGTGTATTTGCAATATCAAAAAGTCCATATATTTATACTTTCAAAAGCTTAGTAGCAAATAACTCTTTTAAAAGACGTTAATTTCATGGAAAAATTAATAAGAACTAGAGAATAATAATGTTGCTCACCAGCACCCAGATTGTAAATATGATGGGTGACTCCATCAATAACATTAGGTGCGGTATTCTGTAAGAAGCTATCAAACCACTCTTTCTTGTAAAAACCACCTGGGGCTAGCACTTGGGGTCTTGTATCAGGTTCTGGGTAAAACATATTCACTAATTTTCTGAGTTCAGTGATATCTTTTGCATATTGCACACTTTCTATTCTTGCACCGATACCATCACTACATAGCTCATTTCCTACCATGAATAGACTTGTATCAGAAATCACATACAACTCACATTAATATACTTGGAATCGAAGTTCAAAGCAAAAAAGCATTGCCTTACCTAATTCATATGAATCTATTTTGTATCCTTTTGAAATAGTGTAAGTCATAAGGGTAGCAGCATTATGTGGGTTCCAATTACCTAGCCAAAGAATTTTGTCCTCCACGGATCTCCTCTTTCCATGGAGAGCATTCAACCCAAATGTGAGTTTGACTCTGCCACAACATCAATGCTAGATTATAAGAATATACTTCAAACAACACATATATAGTTGCTGAGATAATGAGAGATCATGGTTTGGAATGATACATGATAAGAGTGTAATATACCCGGTTTTGTTGAAAAAGTCATTGATTTGATCCCATCTAGTATGATTAAGGCATCCAGAGCTAAATCCAAACAAGCCACCTGGATTCTTTGTGAATCCTATGCAATTTTTTGGATGTCTAAATCTATACACCACTTGATCTTCTAATGAACCTCCTAATCTGATTCTCAAGGAGTTAAATGCTACATGAACGAAAGCAAATACATATGAATATTTATTTGAATCTTTGAATGTAAATTAAAGTAGCTAGTTTTTGGCTATTATTGGAAGTAGCTAGAAGGGAAAATGTGATAAAGAAAAAAAGAAATTTTTACTTCACCATATTTTTACTGAAAATTCATAAATTGAAATTAAATTATAAAAAGAGGACAATTTCACAAAAGTTTACAAAAGTGCAAAAACACTAGATAGAAAATTCTCGAATCATTCTTGTCCTTTTTCTCAATAAAGAATGAGGGGTATTTGTCCCCCCCCCCCCCCGTGGGAAAAAAAAAGAGGGCCTGAGGGGTACTTGTGCAATATTAATATCAATGAAGGAAACTCCCTAAAATTGAAAAATATTCAAAATCACTAAGCGCCAATGACGAAACTTTCTGTGCTATGAATTTTTGTAAAGAAAGAAAATATTTTACCCTTTATAGCATTTATCATAATCTTGTTATTCAAATCCTGCCAACATGAAGAGAGCAAAAATAAGATACTAGTATATCCATGATATTTAATAAAAAATTGACGGAGAATTGTAAATTAATATATGTATGTATGTATGTACCAGATTGAGAATGCCCGCTTGTCCCCAAGGACATTGACCGTAATCACATTTATCAGAAGGCCACCAATCCAAAGTTGCACAAATGAAATTTTCATCTGTATTTGCTATTGATGTTATCACTTTTACATCAAGTTTCACGTCTTCTGAATGGGTTACAGAAAACAATGAAACAAGAACACACAAGAAAGCTAATTTTGCTTCCATGATGGAAATTTGTAAAACAAGAAATGGGAGGGAGGAAGCACGAGAAATTAAGAAATGTTCCCTACATTTATATAGTCAATTGGGTGGTAAAATTCTTCTCTTTCCTAATCAGATCGATTTGATTTAGAAAATATGTTCCAAGTATATTTCCGTTTGTTGTCAAAACAACATAACTGTACTAATTGACAGCTAAAACAAACTAAAGAATGTATCAGTAATGCCTCCTTTATGAGCTGTCTCAACAAAAATGGGTTGGAATTTGGGAGAGAAATTTTACCTCTTATTCGATGTTAAAATTGACTTTTTTGGCATTAGTTACCAAAATTAGTATACCCTTAAATACCATTGCAAGATCTAATCTGTATTCCGTATATCAAGAGGTAATTCAATTGTTAAAAGATTGAGTTCTGGTTTGGTAGATCAAGTCTAGTCCAATCCAATCTTAGGTTATTACTAGACTTGACCAAATTAGGGACTGTCAAATCCAGTCCAACCAAAAAGTAGACTAGTCTTCGGATTGGGCTCTGGTTTGATTCAGTGTGTCCATTGTGCAGTCCTACTTTCAGACATCATCCTGTCCTTCTATTTGCTAGCCTTAACTAAAATTCCATGTAATACAAAGTTCTCATGTTATGTGTCTCATTGATTGAAATTTTGGTTTCATTTCTTAATGTTTTCACGTCCATTTAATTCATTTTTGTGATGTTAGCTCTAAATAAATAATGTCAGTAGCAGTGACATCCACGTATCGATTTCGGGGGCTTGATAGGCAAAATTCTAGGAAGATTTTCTTTTCTTTTAAAATTAATACTCATGATTATTATCGTTGGACATAGAATGGGGAAGGAGAAAGGAGAGGGATAGAGAAGAAGAGCGGACAGAGAGAGAATTGGAAGGAGAGGAGAAAATTCAAAGAGAAAGCAAATGCTATAATAAACTCAATTTATTCAAAAGGAGTATACTGAAAATAATTCTTGCTCTATTTATAAAGCTCTAAGCAACCTAATCCTAACTAATTAATCTTCAAATAAAAAAATTACAAAAATTGGAAACTCTATTAAATAGGACATAAAAGAAATTACAGAAATAGTAAACTCTGCCAAATAGTAAATAATCTCTCATGCATCTAAACATAATCCAAATTATTTATTTTAAAGATAATTTTAATTAAAATACCAATATTTCAATATCATATTCCATCGTTTTTCCTCTTATTGAAAAGAACCCTCCTCTGAAGAGATAAAGAGCTGTTAAGACTCGAGCAAGGTGGGATTGATTTGGCGAAACTCTTTTTCAGCGATCAAGGACGCATTTGTATTAGAGTAACCTTTCTAATGAACAATATAGCAGTGAACAAAACCACCAGAGATGAGAATAGATTCCTCATCCATGATAGTATCAATCACTTCCTTGGCTTGTGGACAGGTTGGTAGTGGCAGACTAAAGCACTGTGTTGCTTGAAACCTGTAATGACTTTTGAAAGATGTTAATTTCATGGAAAACTTGATAAGAACTAAGAGTTATGTTGCTCACCAGTATTCAAGTTGTAAATATGATGGGTGACTCCATTGACAACATTAGGTGTAATATTTTGAAGCAAGCTATCAAACCATTCCTTCTTATAAAAACCACCTACGGTCATGTAAAAGGATTTGGGTAAAACATATTCACTAATTTTCTTAATTATGTCCTTTGCATGTTGATCACTTTCCATTTTGTCATCAATGCCATCACCACAGAGCTCACTTCTTACCACAGATTAGCCTTTGATCATAAATCACAATGGCTAAGATTAGCTTTTTACAATGTATCACTTGTTCACACTATGACAATGTATATGAGGAGAGAGGGATCAACGTGTCTAACAGTGAAAACTTCAGAGAATTTTATAAAAATAAGTTAAAGCGCAGGGACTAATTTATGAATTTGATAAAACTATAAAGACAAAAAAAAATATATGCACAGAACTAATCAGTATTTAAATGCTGTTTGAATCTTGAATGCTGAAAAATCTATTGAATTCAACCGCATTATTATGTCATCATAATATTAGGACCAGGTCAGTAGCTTTTCTTTCTTTTCTTCCAATTTTTAATTATTTGGTTGCAGCATTGCGCTAATTAGTCTTATTTGTTACTATAAAAAATAAGTCAGCCTTGATGTCCAAGAAAGTAGTCTTTCTACGGCTTCTTCCTCACTTGATTCTTTTCTATTATGATGGTATCGTATCATACTATAACATTATGTGGTTCTTAATAAGATCACGTAAATTAAAGCTGTGTATTCAACACAAACGGTGAATGAATGGCTAGGAGTACCAAATAAACTATTTTGTATTTAATAAAAGAAATGACACACTTGATTTGTAGTTATATTTTTTGAAGGATTCAAAGGTGATATTGTAAAATATTTTGAAAGCAATTTTCAGATGGGCCCAAATCAATATTTTAATGTTAAAATTTTAAACGCTGAAATGTCTACTGAATTCAAATTTTATTTAGTTATCAATTACCATCTTGATTCTTAATATAAAAGTCAGCTTGACATTCAATTTAATTTTAAATATAAAACTCAATTTACTTTGTCTCTTATATTTATCTATTTTCTTTAAAAGTAGTTTTTGTAGTAGTTACACATATTAAAAGTTTCATCAAATGGTAGTTCTAACTAATATACATGATTATTAAGGATATTTTAGAAAAAGATAATACCTATTTATTACAAATAACTAATTTAAATAATTTTTTTAATTTACTCAAATTAGTTAACCAATTTTTATATGAAGGACCAAAGATAGTAACCAGGACTTTGTCAATATAGTATTCTTGAAATAAAATAATGTCTTCTTGGCTTCTTGTTTAGTTGCAACTCGCCTCGTATGTTCAGTCTTTGCCTGTTAATGTAAAAAAAACTATATATATATATATATATATATATATATAAAAGAGACCAACTTTTTTGTCTAAAAAAATAAAATCACATATTCTTTAGCTTCCTCCTCAAGAAATGCACATGGACCAAGCAATGAAGAACTTCTATAAAACCCCCCTCAATGTAGTTGCAGTCTAATCAACCATATATGTACAAAATAAACAGAAACAATTATTGATAGATGGAAGAGGAAGTTGGCCAAGTTGTGCTTTTAGGGCTATGGGGAAGCGGCCGGTGCACAAGGGTTGCATTAGCCCTTAAACTTAAGGGCATACCCTACAAGTATGTGGAGGAAGATTTAACAAACAAAAGTGAATTACTGCTGAAGAGCAATCCGGTGCATCAAAAAGTTCCAGTGCTCTTACATAATGGCAAGGCAATAGCTGAGTCACTTGTTATCTTAGAATATATCGAAGAGACTTGGAATCACACTCCCAAACTCTTGCCTCATGATCCTTATCAAAGAGCCAAGGTTCGCTTCTGGGTTAATTACTTTGATCAAAAAGTAAGTGCGATTTCCTTACTACCTTTCCGTATGCAATTGATTATTTAGACATCAGTAAAATAACATCCAACACCTTGTTGTTATTTTCCAATAGCATTCAATATCTTAATTTTATTTACGATGCCCAATATCCTGATACATCTAACACCTTTTGATGTTATTTTTCAATTATATTTAGCACTTTAATCTTACTTATGGTTTAGGATACTGGATGCACTATAAATAAGATTAAATTGTTGGAAGCACAAAACAAAATTAATATCAGGATCTTAGATGCACCATAAATAAGATTAAGATGCCAAATGTAATTGGAAAATAACGTTAGGGTTCTAAATGCTATTTTATTCTTTAGAGATTCTAATAAAGATTGATTTTGTTGATCTTAGATTGCTTCAGCCTCATACACCATCTTCTTATCAAAGGGGGAAGAGAGAGAGAAAGAAATTGAAAAGATGAGTGAAATTATTAGAGTTTTTATTGAAGGAGTGAAGAGAGATTTAGGTGACAACTTCCCTTATAGCAAGGGCAAGTCCTTAGGACTCTTGGACATTGTGGTGGGAACACAAGCTTGCAACTACAAAGCTGCTCATGAAGCCTTGAAAATGGAAGTGATTCATCCCCATACGAATTCAGAGTTCTTGTCATGGGTTGATGCCCTCAAAGAACATCCTACAATGAAGGAGACCCTTCCTCCTCATGACAAGTTGGTGGCCAACTTGATAGAGAAATTTGGTCCTCTCAATTAGATCTTGTTTTAATAACAAAATTACTATACTATATAAAGAATATAAATATAGTGCTTTTGTGTTCCCTTTTGCATATTCTCATACTTGATGTTTTGTTGTAAAATAAAAATATGTATTAGCAATTGCTACTTTATATTCATGAGAGTTGCTCCTGCAACAAAATAAAAACTTGATTTGCTCATTGTATGATATGTCTGCTTTTATTTTGGAATGGATAAAGTTTGATTGAATCGCCTCCATTTCTCCCCCAGAAATATTTTTTCCCCAATTTAATCTCGGAAATTATAATTTTATTCTTTGACTCTAATTTTTTTCTCAAATATTATGTCATAATATGCTCTTGTAGTGATGAGTTAATTTTATCAACATTCATAATTAGCAGTAGAAATAATTTGGATTCCTTGAAGAACTTAACATGCATCGTGAGAAAGTTAAATTCAATTCTTGGAAAATCGAACGAGACCAACCATTATTCTGATTGTAAAATCGACGACTTAACACCTGGTCCTGTCCAAAATAATAGTCAAAGGGGGGTGGGAAAGCAAACCCGTATGACCTAATCAATCCAATTTTAAATTGATCAGAATCGGCAAAACTAATGGATTTGTTGGTTTGGTTAGGTTAATAAAATGTCGAAGAAGAATGAGAAAAATGAACATGGCCATAGATAATTCCCAAAACTTAAAGGCTATGATTTATTCCCCTTGACTTCTTTAAAAGAATGAGAGTATATTGTTTACCATCAATATAGGGGGAAAAAAATACTTATCATCTTTCGTGTTAATTGAAAATTTTCTATTTTAAGCTCATCAATTAAGTTAGCATAATTGATGCACACAACCACTATGGGAAGCAATTAATATGGGCATTTTGATTAAAAAAAGGTGAAGTCAAACATACTCATTTTTTTAATTGTATTTTTTATCGTTGGCCAAAAAAATTGTATTTTTTTACCTATATGATTTTATTATTTATTTCTTATAAATAGATTGAGGAGGAGTCGTTGGCCTTAAAAAAAAAAAAAAAGATTGAGAGGGAGTTTTAAGAAGAGATGGCCTTCCATTACACTTTCTAAGACAATTAATTACTCCATTTGCACCCATGTTATATTTGACAAATGTCACATTTGATATTTTTACACGCAGATTAAATAAGGAAAATGAGAAAGAATATGTCAAGTATGAGCTAATTAAGAGTAAAGCAAGAATAGATAGGGTCTTTTCAATAATCAGGCCAAAGATACCTTCCTCGATGCCTCAATGAAGCACTTACCTTTGGTTTAAATCGGATCACGGGCCGCCTCTTCTCCAACTAGAACAAGGTATGACGTCCAGCCATCATGCTTGGCCCTTTAGATTTAATGCTTCTTGGGTTCTCCATTGTGATTTTAACAAGTGAGTTAGAGAAACTTGGAATCCAACACTTCACCGATGAAGTCACTAGCTAGAGTAATTAAACAAGTGTATGGACACTTGGGTCATCGAAAAAGTCATATCATAGGTCAGCTAAAGGTTGTCTCTTGTACAATCACTTGTTATGGCACCTCTTTGGACCTTGACCGCTTCAGTTTACCCTCTAGTTAGATCTGGAAAATGTCTTGTTAGAGGAAGAGCTTCATTAGGCCTAGAAGGGCAAGTGCAATTGGTTCAACCTTGGAGACCGGAACACAAAATACTTCCACTTAAGAGCCAATGGTCACCGCAAAAGGAACAAAATAGAGGCAATAAAAATGATGCTGGAGAATGGACCGATGATAGAGAAGAAATTAAGCAGCTGGTGACAAACTTCTTTATCAACCTCTTTGGTAGGGAAGGCAATGTCACTTTTAGGAACCCCACGGAGATCACGTACCCAAACTTGGAAGACATTCACATCATAAGCCTTAGCCGCAACATTTATGGTGTTTATTCCAAAAAAGACCGCATGGAGACGATTAAAGACTTTCGACCCTCTACAACATCATCTATACAATGGTAACTAAGGTGATATCTAATCATTTTAAATTTGTTATGTCTCATATTATTGCACCTAACCAATGAAGCTTTATCCCGATCAAGGTGCACAAGTTTCAATAATATCATAGTAGCTTAGGAAGTTGTTCACTCCATGAAGACAGTAAAAAGGAAAAAGGGGCTACATGGCAATTAAAGTCACCTTGAAGAAAGCCTATGACCACGTTGACTGGCATTTTGTGATGGAGTGCTTACAGGAACTAAAGATCCCTTCAGATATCACTAATGTTATCCAACCTTATATTCCTCATCTTCCATGCAAATCTTATGTGAAGGAATTAAAGCTAACGTCTTCTCTCTATCTCGTGGCCTCAGACAAGGAAACCCCTTTTTCCCTACCTCTTTGTTATCTATATGGAGAAGTTAACACACATCATCCAAAAGGAAGTCCTTGAGAAGAGACGAAAGTTGTCAAATTGAGTAAGAAAGGGCCACCTATCTCTCATTTGTTTTTGCTGATGACCTTTTGAATTTTACAGAGGCTAGTTTAGACTGGGTAAAAGTCATAAAAGAGTGCCATGATTGCATCTGTTGGACTTCGGGACAAAAAGTGAGCCAAGGGAAGACAAGAACCTATTTATCAAGGAATATCAACTATACCAGAGTTCCCCAATTAAGCACAGAGCTTGGCTTCACTTCTACTGTGGACATGGGTAGGCACTTGGGGGTTCCCCTCCATCATGATTGTGTCACTAAAGACACTTACTAGGGCTTGGTTGAGAAAGTCAAGAGTCAGCTTAATAATTGGAAGATAGACCAACTTTCTCTCACTGGTAGAGGCAAATTGGTGAAGTCGATCATAAATACAATGCCTACTTATGCCGTGCAGACCACGTGTCTACCCGATAGCACTTGTGCCTAAATTGAGAAGTAGGCCAGAGACTTCCTATGGGGTTTTTCTTATGCAAAAAAACAGATGCACCTACTTGCTTGAAATGAGGTTTGCTTGGAAAAAATGTAAGGGGGTTTAGGCATGTGGCATATCAAGCAACAAAACAATCCCTTCATAATGAAGCTCGGATGGGGCTTGGTTAAACATTATGACTCGCTTTGGGTTAAGGTTGTTCGTAGTAAATATGGTTGTGGTGATGATATTGCTCTCCATAAAGATATCCAAAGTAAGTTTTACCACTTGGAGAGGCATTTGAAATAATTAGACACATGTTACCATAAGTTTACAAGAATTTCGGGACAAGCCCCAAAGTGAGAGATGAATTTTAATAATACGAGCCTTCCCATGAATTCAGAATGTATTTTGTGTATGACATAGAATGTCCCTGGAATAAGCGGGTTCCCATTCAGTGCTCATTAGGTGATGAGCACCCAATGCTCATCACTTGATGAGCAATCTGGACCGTCTCGATCTATTCTGGACGGTCCAGATTTAATATTATTAAATAATTATTTTAAAATAGAAAATATTATATTTTCAAAGAATAATAGTTAAGAAATTATCTTTATTTTTTATCCTATATCTATTAAAATAATTATTTTTTAAAAAATAAAAATAAACATAAAAATAAAAATAAATCTGAACAGTCCAGATCTAATTTAAGAAATATTACAAAAGAACAAGAAAGGAGCCAAAGTTAAATAGGAGAATAATTGGAGTATGACTAGAAGCCATTGGCAAAGGTATGTAACAGGAGAATAATTGGAGTATGACCAGAAGCCATTGGCAAAGGTATGTAACAGGAGAATAATTGGAGTATGACCAGAAGCCATTGGCAAAGGTATGTAACAGGAGAATAATTGGAGTATGACCAGAAGCCATTGGCAAAGGTATGTAACAGGAGAATAATTGGAGTATGACCAGAAGCCATTGGCAAAGGTATGTGACACATCTTTGCCTCCACTATTATAAGCTCTCCGGATTCGCCAACCCATGCTTGAGCCCATGGTGCATACTCTTTTACACTTATTGATATATCCTTGAATGTTTTAGCAACTCGACTAGAAAAAATGGATCTTGCACCTTGTTAATCAAAGTCTTATCCACACCTACATTTATCACATAGACATGGAGTGTTAGGCTTTTTCTTAGAAACCAAACACAAGATAGGTGTTCAATTGCCCTTTTTGTGTTTGTGAAAATGTCCAAATTTTAAAAAAGAAAATAGACAAGAAAAAAAGTGACTCAATTTGCATATGTATATTTCCAACAATATCAAAAGGTCAATATATTTTATGCCTTTTGAAAGCTTTTAGTGTTAGGTAATAAAGTCTTCTCAAAGATTTGTTAATTTTCATGGAAAACTTGACAAGAACCAGAATTATGTTGCTCACCAGCACCCAGGTTGTAAATATGGTTGGTGACTCCATCAACGACATTAGGTGATGTATTCTATAAGAAGTTATCAAACCATTCCTTTTTGTAAAAACCACTAGGAGCTAGGACCTGAGGTCTTATAGAGGAGTCTGGGTAAAACATATTCACTAATTTTCTAAGTTCAGTGATATCCTTTGCATATTGCCCACTTTCTATTCGGGCACCAATGCCATCACCACATAGCTCGTTTCTTGCCACAAATTTGACTTTGATCATATTTCAAAATGCACATTAACAAACTTTGACTTGAAGTTCAAAGCAAAGAATTTTGCCAAACCTAATTCATGTGAATCTATTTTGTATCCTTTTGAAATAGTGTAAGCCATAAGGGTAGCAGCATTATGCAGGTTCCAATTGTTGGCGGCAGCACTTGCAGAAAACTGTTAGTCCGAGTTGCATCCTACGAACGCTGTCCTTAAGAGCTATTCCGCAACCACCAACAAATGAGGAAGCGGCACTCCCCAGGATTAAATGGACTCCTCTTGCAAGAACAGGGTGAACAGAATAGCAGAAGAGAAGATGAAAACCTCAGCGAGGCAGAGAAAATTCCAGAAGAGGGAAAGAGATGCATGAAAGCTCAAGTGTGGGATACTTGAGCCTCTACCCCAAAGTGCCTTATATAGGCCTCAACCCACTGCACCGTTGAACACAGATTAATCACGTTTAAATGTGATTAATATCGTTGTTTTAGACGTTGCAGCAATGAAGGTGCATAATGCAGTGGTTTCTGAACATTGGGTGATTAAGGCACGTTAAAATCAGTTTAAACAAAACCGTTTCTGCAATTAAAGGATAATCCGTTCAGGTAACATTAAGGCCTTTACGTTTATGAAGGTTTCAAAATTCAAAAGGCACTAAATCATGTTTCCAGGTAAGCTTCGAAATTATTAAAAT